GACGTTAAAGTTCAGGCACATGCATGTCCCCTCCATGTATTTCAGGGATGTCATTAACTACACTTACGTCTCTCCAGCACTATTATTGGTACTATGTCGTTTTGACAATGTCAGGATTAAAACCAGGTATGTGGTACCTTCCAATTTTAAACTCCAGCAACAGACAGCTTGCCTTTATTTTATTTTTTAGTGTCATATTGAAATGAAATCCTGTCAAATTCAGGTTGTGTCTAACAGTGATAGTTTTTGTTTTTTCTCCTTAAGTCTTATGGAACTTCCCCCCCTGCTTTTCCCCAGAATTGTTTCTAAAACCAACTTACATGTTCAGGCAGCATCTGCTGAATGGCTGCCCTTTCTAGGAATCGGCTCTTGTTTCCACGGCCTCGATGGGTTTTTAATCTCTTTCTTAGTCTTTCCTTAGAATATAAAATTTTGAAATAAAAGATGCAGCACTGACGGATTTTTAGAATATATAACCATTTACTTTATATTATCCTTTCCCAAAGCAATAAATGTCTCAGACTTCATAACACCCACAATTTAATTACCTGCCATGACCAAGGATGCTCTCGTGACAGAGTTACGAAGAAAAGCAGAGGGGAGAGCAGTCCTTAGGGGGTGCCCAGGAGAAGCCCCCAGAAGAGGTTGGAAGGTGCCAAGGGGATAAGGATAAATAAGCAAAGTTAACTGCGGGGCAGCCTTCCTGGTGGGGGTCAGAGACTCCGGTTGAGGATTAAGCTGGAGACTGTCACGATCCCCATGACTCAGATACTGAGGGTATTGTTCCCACAGGGCTAGATTTCGAGCACTGTATTGAGATGTTTGAATACTTCTCTTTTAGTAGGAGACCTGGTGGCATAGTGGTTACACACTGGGCTGCTAACTGCAAGGCAAGGTCAGCAGTTCGAAAACACCAGTCACTCCTAGGGGAGAACGATGAGGCTCTCTCAGCCCAGAAAGAGTTACAGCCTCGGAAACCCACAGCGGCAGTTCTGCTCTGCTCTATAAGGTCGCTATAAGTCACCATTGGCTCGGGGGCAGTGAGTTTAATTTGGAGTTTGAGTCTCCTTTAGTAATGCCAGAACTGAAGTGTTTTTTTAAGGACAACCAAGTTAAAGGCTAAGGAGCCTAGGTGTGCAAAGAAGTAAGGATTAGACCAGTAACTGAAAGGTAGATGGTTCAATGCCAGCCAGCCTCTCTGTGAGAGGAAGACCTGGTCTAAAGATTGCCACCAAGACAACCCAATAGGGCAGTTCTTGTGTGTCACATGGGGTCACTATGAGTCAAAATCAATCCCTGACAACAACAATAAGTAAACACTGTGACCTAGGTAACAACGTCTTTAAGTTTATCTCAAAGAGCTTATCTATTTTAACCGTTTAACGATTAAATCCAGGGAAAGCATTTCTGATGGTCTTTGATGGGACTCCCCAAAGACAAACTTGCTGCCCTCAAAAGAATGAGGACTCACATCCTAGACTGTTCACTGTGTATGGGAATAGAGAGCCCTGACTTTGTGGTCAGCAGCCCCGTTGGTAACCACTGTGGTCTCGGGGGTTTTAGTTGAATTCGAAATCCTGGGTGGCACAATTGACACCCAACAATACAACAAAAGCACGTCTTCAGGTGGTGCCAACAGCTAACAGCTCAGCTGGGAACTGATAGGATTGTGGCTTAAGGCCACCAAGAGACCCTTCCAAGAAAGGCCTACTAATCTACTTGCAAAAACTCTGTCACTGAAACGGGGTCACCTTGAATCAGAAGTGACTTGGCAGCAGCTGGTTTGAAGGTTTTGGGGGTAGGTTCTTATCGACTCAGATAATATCGGAGCAGAAGCAGATGTCACTCATTTGTGGGCCACCATACTAAGTTATGTTCATCACAGGTAGACCGAGAACCTAGCTGTCCTAGGTACTGTTGTAGGCACTCAAGGCACAGCAATGTTCCACAAAGGTCATTGTCTTCATGCAGCCTGCCTCTCAGCTGGAGAAACAGACCATAAATTGTTAGCTTATAAATAATAAGTAAGTGCAGTTGGTTATTGGATGTCCCACCACTCCTCTGTCAGTTTGTCACACTGTGAAGGCTTGTGTGTTGTGCTGATGCTGGAAGCTTATGCCTTGTCGAGGTGGGTTGACACGCTGGCTGCAGCAGTGGGCTCAAACGGCAGCTCGTGCATGTCATCGATTGCGCGTGGGGTCACCGTGAGTCAGGACTGACTCAAGGGGTCTAACCACAACAGTAGCTGATCATTATTTGGGGGGAATAGGAAAACCAGAGGAGGTGATGGGAGTTTTGAGTACTGTGAAGATGGGGGTTATAGTTTTGACCAGGATGGTTAGGGTTGAGAAGGTGATGTTTGAGCAAAGGCTTGAAGGTCAAGTTACCATCACCTTGTGATAGAACACAGGGAGTAGAGGTGGAAAGGCGGTGTGTGTGGTGAAGGGAGTTAAAGGACAGGGGAATAGAAAGCATTCTTCTAGAATAGTATTGGCCAGATCAGCGGTCAGCCAGTAAACTTCGGCTCGAGAGCTATATGCAGCCCGGAAGTAAAATTTAAAATAAAAACACAACTATCAGAGTTTCATTTTCAGATACTGGCGATCTTAAAGATGAATGAGTAATTGGCTTGCAAAAATGTATTTATAGCGCTTGATTAATTTTTAAATTGTGTGAGGAACAGGATTGCTCTTCTGTTCTTAAGAGTTTGCCAACCCCTAAACCAGAGAGACCTGTTTGGTCAGCACTAATAGGTCAGGGAGTCAGGCAGCTCATGAACCATAGCCTTTCTGGTAGTAAAATTTCCCCACGTGACTTTAGTCCTCTGGGGCCCAGTTTTTAAATATTCTGGTTTCTGTGATCTGTGAGCCCTTCGGAGAGAGCACACTACAGTTGTGTGCTGGCATGGAGGTAGGTGGTAGATGGAGAGAAGAGGGGTTTGCCTTGACATTTATTTTCATCTAGTTTTTGTTGTTGTTGTTCAAGTTCATTCTAATAGTCACTATTAAAAATCCGTATTGGGATAAGGTCCTCTTTCTCTAGAGACAAGCACACCCACTATATCCAACCTGAAGTTCCGATGTAAACCGTTCCTGCTGCTCCTGCTGCTCCTGCTGCATAGCCCTTCCGAGGTGGAGCAACATAGCTGCAAAGCTGGGGCGGGGAGGCTGAGCTCTGGCTCTGCTTGCCTGATTGGTCACGGTAGTGGTAGTTCAGTGGGTAGGGCCCGATTCAGTGTGACTGTGCCACCTCCTGATGGCCCAGTTACCACCTTTCCTGATCACACACTCCCCAACAACCATTTGGGATAAAATGTGGGAAAAGTACATGAGTGGGAAATCAGAATAAACTCTGAAGGTTAGTTTATAGTTTTGTTTTTCTTCCATGACCAAATGTTAACTGTGGTTATGTCAAATATTAAACATTACAAGATGCTAACCCTATACGGGCATGTGGAGGCACTGTGAACCACCTTAGCAAACTTACTTATAAAGCTAAAAATGATATGAAAATAAATATCCTGCTTTAAAAACGAATGCCCCTTGGGGAAAGGGAAGGGGCGTCATGGGTAAGGAGTTGAGCTTCTAACCTCCAGGACTGCAGTCGAGACCCCAGCAGCTCTGAGGGAGCAAGATGAGCCTTTCTACTCCCGTAATGAGTAGTCTCGGACATTCACAGGGGCACCTCTGCCCTGCCCTACAGGGCCGCCGTGAGTCGGCATCAACTCGATGGAAGTGAGTTTGAGTTCTTTTGTTTGGGAAGTTGGAGGTGACTTGGGCAAGAGTGAATCCTGTCATCCAAACCAGAAAAACAATGTAACGTGCTTTCGCCCTGGCTGGTGGGTGCACCGCCTATAGCTCTAGTCTGAGCCCTCCTCGCCTTCGGCACCACAACCCAGTCTCCCTGCTGGTGGAACCACGTTTCTTGCCGATCGTTGACGAGGAGCGAGTACTTGGAGGTGTGCTTCTCTGATAGGGTTCGGTAGAGAGACCTGCCCTTCCTATGAGCTCGCATAGGGAGAGAGCCAGCAGCACACACAGGGAAGCCATGAGAAATGCCCCAAAGTCCCAGAGGCAAAGCTGCCTACAATAATGATCGGCTCACGAAGTTCAGAAGTCCCCACGACTGAGGCTCCTCCTCTCAGGGAGTGATCTGCATTTGTGGACCTACTTGCCAGCCTGCTTTTGATCAGCTGTGGCCCCTTCCTGCTTTTTAGCACAATCTCATTGTGCATTGTTTACTTCATTAAGTAAATGTGGGGGGTGGGGGGAGGGGGGCAGCTTAGAAAAGGAGTGGCCTTTTATATATAGACATACATGTGTGGATCTATATTTATATAGATCAAAATCCTTTTCTCTTCTGACAGCTGCAAATCAGAAGGAGCCCATGAATCTTCACTTTAAAGTGAAAGAGGAGCCTGCAGAAGAGGAAGCAGTAAGTGTAGGCTTGCCTCGGCCCAGCTACGTGTTCAGTCCGGAATCTGACGTGCCCGCCCCCAGCATCCCCGAGGAGAGGCTTCAGGCCCAGGACGGGAAGGGCAGTGTGCTCCGGCGGGATGTGTCAGTCAAAGCGGCATCGGAACTTCTCATGAAACTCTCAGGTACTTGCCTTTTATCCTCAAACACTCATATCCCGATTTATTCGACAGTCTTCATATCCTGATCATTTCAATTGCAAGCCAACTGGACTCCTTCCGGCATGGGTTATAATTAACCCAGTGGCAGCCGCCTCACATGGTTACAGTGAATTCAGGAACCATCTGATTACTTGGCTGGATTCCCTGTGTTGTGCTCATGTGTTTGTGTGTGTGTGTGTGTGTGTGTGTGTGTGTGTGTGTGTGTCGTGTCCTGTACCTATCTTTTTCAGCTATAGCCTTTGTATCCGGGATAATGTGCTAAGTTACTGGAGAATACAGCACCTTTCTATGTTGGTGTGGGCCATATTTTAAACGAGTCCTAATGACATTCCAGGGCACTTCTGCTAATTGATCAAAATATATCTTGTTTCTTAAGAGGGACCTTTTTGTTTCTGATATATTTGTATGATCGTCTTAAAGACCATTAAACTATTTTTTTCTTAATTTAATA